TATTTAAAGCAAGTAAACGGCAACGTATTGCATATGATCTTTCATTGTTGATGACTTTCGGTGACAATTGTTAACTAATTTGTCTAGTTCTGTTTACAAGCTACACCTAGAGTGCCATGTGGAAAACAGATTAGCATTTCTTAATTTTATTGTAATGTTTTTAAAATGTTGTTATCGAGAGCCACAAAAGTCCAAATATGCTTGATGTTAGTCATTAATTTGCCGTCGAATTCAGTAATCATACTATATAAATTGAATATATTTTGGTACCCGCTCGTCGAGTTGTAGGCACCCGTTAATGAGGTGCAGGGACATGGTACAGGTTCGTGTTCCCTAAAATTGCTTCAATTAGTTTTTTGTGTTGATACCAAAACATTTGGTTTATCAAAAATTGGAAAGTTGAGGTCTGTAAACCGAAGAATGTCTGGTTGATAATTTACTTAGCCCATGCTAAACTCATAATTATTGATTCATTATAAATTTAAGTATTTATTAGCTCACAGCTACTATACGTTGGGACGAATCAGAGCTGCTAGTAAAGTATTTATAACAAACAAAGTAAAACAGTAGACAAAAATACCAAATCAATCGGTTCCTTTCATTTGATTTTTTTACGGTATCATAAGCCTGCGTGACCTCGCGATTAACTTTTTTGTGAGGTTTCCGCGCTATAAAAGTGGTTCTGACGCATGCTATCCTTTACAGAAGTGGCATTTATTTTTGTAGCTTTTTGAATTTCTATGTTAGGTATATTGTTTCCTTATCGAACAGGCAGCTCTACTATTATACTCTGATATATTTACTTATTACTGAGTAATAAGTCAGTTTGGGGAAATTTTCAATTGACTGTCAACAGCCATCTGCGCCGTAATTGGTCGAGAATATATTTGCCATCCTCTGAACCAATCAGACGAAAAGTATAAGTCAATCATGTCTTGTCAACAGTGTTTTCCCGCCCTTTTGGTAGTTTACCTGTTATTACTTTGAGTTTTAGTTGGCTAATGATGGTGTTTATCTTTGTTATGATTGGCCGTTGTGATTGCTTCGGTTTTGGTTTGTCGTAAGTCAATTGAAAACTGCTCTGGTCAAGTGACTTCGTTTTCAGGGTGCTGTGGAACAGAAAGAGGGCGAAGTGTATTGTACAAACAAATATGTGACAATACAAGTAAAATGAAAATATAAATGATGCAGTAGTTTCCTTATTTCTGATTTTTCGTGTCGCCAAAATGACACTTTTCTGATGTCAGGGTGCATACATCAACTTGTTTATTACTGATTGAATAATCCACCTAGCAGCTGTTCAGTGGGTTGTCACGCTACGCTCCCCTCATGAATTCCAGAGAAGGCGCGATGGAGACTAATGGGTTGTATTCAGCCTTGTTCGCTCTGTCCTTCTCATCGTCAAGAGGGTTCACACAAATACATAAGGGGATGTCTAACTCACTACGCCCATAGGCACGATGATCATCTCAAACCCAGTCCCTCTTCATTTCACATCAGTCGAGTTGTGGGTCAGTTCCTGGAGGGGTTATTCCCATGAAAAGGATTTATAGGTACATGTCACCCCACAGGCTGTGATTCTAAGTATTCTTGGTCTAAAAAGGGGAATAGACTTTGAGTATGTTCGTTCAAATTAGGTGTGGGTTACAAGGGAACGCCAGGAGTGTTAAAATAAAACATACTCGTCTATTCAACACGAAATGACTAATAGGGAAAGGAAATTAACCAGACGTTACCATTGAGGTGAATTTTATCCGCTCTTGACATCTGCAGAGATATGAGGCGTTCAACAATTTAACAAGGTGTTGTAGGTCTGCACCAAAGAGTGTAGCTCTTAGGAGGCTCTTAGACCTGTATCTGTAGTAACAGTGAACCCCTCTGTATGGTTTTACAAAATTCAGGGAAAACTTCCCAATAACTTGATGTTCCTCGTGCCTACGTAACTGACCGGTATGTTCTCTGGTGTGTTTAGCTGCAAGTTCGTGAAACAGTCGGCACAAGTCGGGAACACTCGTACATAAATTAGGTTCCGGTATCGGAACACCCCTGAACCATCCCGACTGGAACACGTTTCATTATCTTTCAACAATAACAGACTGCTGGAGGCGACGAGACGGCAGAATGAGAGGCGTATCGCCATTTTCTGCTTTCGTTCTCCTTTCTATTTTTGCAGTTTCATTCTGCAAAGATAAACAGGATTCAGGCAATGGAACTATTGTGAGAGCCCGTTTAGAGGTGTGTTGAAGTCAGCCTGTTTGTTTATCATGTTAAAACAGACCGACTTTTCAAGAGTGGAAGGTTCGATCTGTTAAACAGCTGTAAGATTCTTTGTTGGAACGGTAGTGGCGCAGGTTTCTCTGCTCCTCCAGTAAAATAACTCATTCAATGAAAGTATTTTTTGTACGTAAGTAGCCGTCCAGCTCCTAAAGGGTAAAATAACTGCAACTTTAGAAGGCGTGAATTATTCCTTGTCAATTATTGAGCTTCCTTCTTTGTACTAATCGTCTGCCCAGAAGCCATCAAGATTATTCATGTCAATTAAAGTTAGGCATGCCTCAGAAAGTTTTCTCCTCATTGGATCGATCAAAATTGATAAAATCGCTTTAAAATGATTACGCACTGCAATATCGGAAAGAAAAAGAAAACTTTTCATGTAGTCCTTGATTCTTTTGTTGCAAGTCGTTCACCTCTTTAATATTTTATTGTCTGTGGTCATTGTAGTGAAACCCTCTCATCTTTTTCATTGGCTAGAAATGGTGTAATTTTTCTGTTCCTAGAGCAATATGAGATAATTATTCCGTTAGGCTGCGAGGGAATTAGCCTGGTAAATCTTATAAGAAGGGTGGCTGGGGGGATGGCTATTCTTTTGAGTGTTGAGAAGGGGCACATATGAACCTCATGGGATGTATCAATTGAAAATTCTTAAATTATTTGTTTTGTTGGAAGTGTAAGATAAAGTTAAGATAGGGTCAGGGAATGATATCTTGAAAAACCATGGCCAGGCAAACTCTCCATTTGGTCACTGTTTGCAATACCTCTTGATATATTGTTCATAGTGTGCTTACTTTGGTCAGCAACTCTGGTAGAAATTTAAAATGTGTAGCTAAAATTGTTAAATATTAATCACAGATTTTAAAACAAGAGTCTAAGTCAGTCAGTGAGTCTTGGATTCATCAAGAGAACTGAGATTTTTTCTTTTTCCTTGCTCATAACAAAATGAATAATACTGAGCTGGAGAATTTACCATGTTTCTCAACTGAATAATATTTCCCTTGATAGAGTGGTTTCAAGGACAGAAGTAGAGGGAACAAAATATGCATGTTATTATTTCTTTTGTGTGCATCTGTGCACTTGTTATTGTGGTGAATTTTGGTATTTTGGAAAAAGCTTATTGATACAGCTGTGTAAACTTTTTTAAGTACTACTCCAGCATATTTAAGGTATCAGATTTTTTTATACAACTAAGGGTTTAAAAAAAATATGTACACATACTTGGTCTCAAAGTTACTAATTGTTATATTTTTCTCAGACCTGTGGTGGATGACGTTTGAATCGCCTCCCAGAGGTAAGATTTACTCCCTGCTTGCTTTTAAGTAAGCTTGGTTGAAAAGAAAAAAAAGAAGTCTTGTTACAAGTTTCTACCTATCTTGTGAATTTGTAAATAGAAATTGAACTTGCTTTTTTGGCAGTTTACTTCATTTTCAAGTGAGAGTTATCAATCAGTCAAGACCTCAGCACAAATCAAAACTGTTAAGCTAGCTCACATTATGTCTTTTATCAGTTTAACTGAAAAATACTCTTTTTATATTTTTCCACAGGTGAAGGCTTTCATTTCAAAGCTTTTGCCTTTCCAGTATCCTTTTATTCTTGTCCATTGATGCAAATTGAAACTATGGTGCAACCCCTCTATAACAGTTTTTTTAAGGAATAGGAACTTTTGCCATACAGCATGTCTAACATCTTTTCATTAATTTGGAATGACTTTTTGTTGGGAGTGTCCATGTGTGTGGGAGGGGAGGGGGGGAGGGGAAGGTAACCTGTATTGGACAAGCATCTGTCTAAAGGAGGTGACAATACTCCTTTTTGCTTCATGCTCAGGAAACAAGAATAAGCTTGAGCAGAGTGAGGGACTAGGTACAATTGCTGACTTCACATGTACATGTGTTTAACACCGTTTTTTCCCCATCTGTAATGTACCAAAAAGTGTCAGTTATGTTCCTTTATGATGTATAGCCATGATGTGAACATTAAGTACATTCCTGGTAAAGACCCAACCATGGTGTTCTTAAATTCTGACAACAAGGTGGTGCTGGTGAGTAAACTGTTTTACCATGGCAGTGTCATTTGCCAGAAGTCCCAATCTTACCTTATCCGACAAAGCTCTTGATGACTGTACAGACACTGACACCTCTCAGTTATCTGACAGCTCAATGATTCTCACAAACTTTTGTCACTTTTGTTTTTGTATCAACCTCCTCCATTGTTTTTCCATGCAGGAGGAAGATGTTTCAGAGATGAAGACAGATGAAATATCCCAACTCTTAGAAAAGCATGGATTGCCTAAGTCAGCAGAAGCCAGGAGTGAAGTTCCTGAAGAGCCAGATGAGCCAGAGGAACTGGAGGAGCCAGAAGAGCCAGAAGAAGAGGAGCTGGAAGAGGGTGAAACAGAAGAATATGATGATGATGAGGAAGATGATGTTACAGACCATACTGAACTATAAATTCATTTTCTTCCAATACCAATGAGCAGAGTAATTAGGGTAGGGTGTAGGTTTTTCAAGTGGCTATAAATGCTCACATAAACTCTTTTCCTTATATTTCACAATCAAGAAAAAATAACAAAATTTAGTTACCGGTATGTAGGCTAAATATTTTACATTTCTTTAATTGATATAATTTACAGCACAAATTGGTAGATATGCAAAGAAAGACAAAGTGTTTAGTACAACAACTTTCAAGTCATCCCAGGCTGTGAAGGTGTTTAAGAGTACATGACACAGTTGTGGATAAATTAATTTTGCAGCTGTTGAGAAACACTCTTGCTAATTTACAAGAATGGGTTCTTGCCAAGGAAGTTGTTTTAATGCTTTGTATCTGAAAGAATAAAATTATTTGAAACAAAAATGAAATGACACATATTTATTACAAGAAACAGGTAACAAATTCTCCATGTCAGGAAATTCTCTCCTTGTCAGCATCTTAAGAAGTGTATAAAGGACATTATGGAGAATATAGATACTGACGTTGGGTGTAAAAAGTTCTGCCATTTTCTTGATTCTTCTCAAGAAGGAGGAGGTAGGGACAGCATATGTTCATTTCCTGGACATCTCCTTATTACTTGTTGGAGAAGGAAACATGGTATAAGGGCTGTTTATCCTATTTCTAACAGCAAACCCAAATCAATTGAATCAAGCTTGATGGCTCCTAATTGCTGTCTTGAATTGTGTAGTCAAATTTATTGAGAGATTGTAAGCTAATTCCTGACAAAGGGCTAATGCATAAAATGTCAGCTCTAAAAACTCTTTACAGTGACCATTAATTAACTAACTAATTTAGTCACCAGTCTCATGAAAATTGACCTACCCCTACTTCAAACTTTTTGTCATATTTATTCCTGAGTTGTCGACAGCAATCAAGAATTGTTTGGCAGATAAATGGTAATTTTCACCTTTTTGGATTAGACAGGTTTGAGTTCTGCCTTTGCTAATACATGTTCAAATACAATTAATTGATTTTGACAAATGAGCTTTATTCATATGCATAAAAACATAATATTTTATTACTCTGACTAGAAACAAGCACAAATAATTTTGGTCATTGCATTACCTGAATTTAAATATTCTTGATCAAACACCCAAGATAAAATTAAGCCTACAGTGGCAATAATATATATTTTTAACAAAATACTTTGTATGCATTTAAAAAAAATTTTTTCATAAATATGAATGTTATCTTGAAGCTCTTACTAAAGAGGTGTAAATATACAGGAAAATCAAAGAGCAATTGTTCCTGTGGGTATTTGTGACATGATCATACAAGTACTTTCAAGTAATGCTAATGATGATCCTGTAAACATTCATCTAGGAATTCTATCACGGTCTGTGCAAATTCTTTTGGTTTTTCTGAATGAGGCCAGTGACCACTATCAGGAATATACTTAATGTCTGCTCTGGGAAACAGTTTGCGAATTGCAGGAAACTCCTCTAGCCTGAAAAAGAAATAATATTGTGAGGTTCTTAACATTTGATATGACAGACAGGAAGAACTACACTGGATGATTGTGTCCATTCAGTTACACGGGTAACAGGTTTCAAAAATCCACATATCTTATTTTAAGTTCCTCTCTGGCTGGTAACATCTTGTTAAAAAACATCCATAAAATGGAAATGAATCAGAACCTGTCAGTGATTTTAACTTAGTTGATTTAGCATAACTACAAAATTTCTAGTGTTTTATAAAGTATTTAAGACAAAACAGTCTGAACTATTCTTAAGTTTGTTTTGGATTCCATAAAGTAATCATTTAGTATCTATGCCTGCGAAAGCATCCCTATTCATGAACCTAGATGGCTTTCTTCAAACAGTCAATTTTTTTTAACTGTTAAAAATATCAGTCTGCAGAAATAACATCTGTAAATAATGCACACATTTACAAATCTTCAATCTGTATAACATACATGTAAATTTAAAAAATTAATGGCTTTCATGCATGTAATCTTCAATTACATTTCACAGGCTTACACAGAGACATGTTCTCCAAGGTTGAGCAATGTTGAACATAATGATTGTACTTACTGGATGTAGTCTGATTTAGCTCCACCAACAAAAAGTGTCTTTCCTTCAAACTGTTGGTGAGGAAAATTTGATGGAAAACCAGCAACTTCAGATATGTTATTCTCCAAGGCTTCAAGGTTAATTCTCCACTTAAAACCAGCTGCACTTTTTATAAGGTTGGTGAGAAAGAATGACCTCAAGAATGCGTTCTGTATCCAACAATCAGAAAATATTTCAAAGAGTGAATTTTAATTAGAATTTGTCATGCCGTTTGAGCTACATTTCAAGTTAACCCCTTAACTCCTAAATGTGATAAGCACAAAATTTCTCCTTATAATAAGCATCCATTATCTAGCAAACAGGTAAAGAGAATCCTCAGACTTATCAGGGAGAATTTTTTATCTTTATATAACACCAAATTCTTGTAACTAATTTACAAGGAAATGTGTAGCAGCTAGAGGGGAGAATTTAGAATCAGATCTTGAGAGTTGAAGAGTCAAAAGCAAACATTTAATGTACTGCACTTACAGGTACAACATCCATTAACATCTTTTCAGCATCTTTCTTATCCTTGATGAGATTTAAATCCATAGCCCGCTTTGTTGCAAGATAACGTGGAATATCTTCATCTAAAGACAGTTTTGTAGGGGACATGTCTACTACTATAAGGCTGTCCACAAACTCTGGATGAGACAGAGAAAATGTCATGGCAGTTTTTCCTCCCATACTGTGACCCATTAAAATTGCTTTTGAAAGTTCCAGTTTTTGAAACAAATGCCATAAATCCAGAGACTGATCAAAGTAGTTCATGTCTGGACTATGATCACTTTGTCCATGATTTCTTGCATCAACAGTAACTACCTGTAGTAGGAGAGTGTGAAATTCTGAGATTAGATAGTTATTTACCCATCTGCCTTCTAATCATCATCTCTTATAAGAAGGAATTGTAATTTGAAGAATAGTTCTTTCTTTCAGTCACTTTGAATGTAAGTCTTTTAGTCTCCCTTTCAGTTTCAATCTGTGGGGAACAGAATGAGAATCAGTGGACTTGTCTGTTTGTCTGTCTGTCTGTCTGTCTGTCTGTGTAACTTCTCACTGTCTGTCTGCTTGCCCATCAGTCAACTTCTGGCAAAACAGTGTGAATCAAAGGGTTTCTACTCATATCAGATGAAACCCTAAATGTAGAGAATGCCTGAAAGGAGACTGTTTTTACATCTCTGTATAGGTGCATGTGTCCGTCAACCTCTAACAAAGAGAATATCAAAAAAGAGTGTTTTTACTGTCCACCTGAATGTTTTGTATCCCAAAGTTAATTATCAATCATACAATTTTTTAATTCATTGTCTACTATGAGCATAGAAACTGTCAAGTGTACAATCCACGTAATTTTTAAAAATGTGTAAACAGGAAGACCCATGACAAAACAACTAAAACGTGATTGAAAATAATGAAAGATCTGGGAAAATTGAAATTGCAGAAAGAGGTTGATTGTCTACCTTTCTGTCAGTTTCCCTGTTAAATAACTTGGCCAGTGTTCTCCAGTTTGTTTTTGATCCAAACAGGCCATGTAAAATGACTATAGGTGGTAAATCGTCCCCTTCAGTAGTTGCATCTATACTTTCATAAGCTAAATTAACTGCTGAACTGAGAAGAAAAGCGAAAGAAAATGAAAAACTACGCTTTAATTATGCAAGGTTTTGCTTCTGCAGCTCAAATCCGTTCCGTAACAGGTTGCTCCTCATTACGTGTTGAGTTACATTCTCTAAAATCGAGGAAAGGATTTCGTTTAAAGTCAATAGCTTTGTTCTATTTAAACAAAACTGGCATTGGCACACAATGAGAGTGTAGTTGATCTTCCTTTCCGGTCAATGCGTTTAAACAACTTCCTTAAAAGGCAATTTTGTAAGTTGTTGGAGACACAAACTTCCTCACCTCCCAGTCATAGCGCTGTAATGTGAAAAACTTTGCCATTTCGGTAAGTAGCCTTTTTTAACACGCACACGACTCTTATAAACAAAACAACACCACCTCTTGAGGCATAAAAAGGTCATAATTATTTTCAACTGTTTATCACAGCAAAGCAACTGCAAGGCGTTCCGATTAGCTGGCCAGGTTACGTAATTACAAACTCTTACTAGGGAGCCAAGCCTTTGAAGTAAGCTTGATAACAATCTGGGTCGAGCTAAGCCCCACCTCAAATGTACCACGTGATCACAACTTCTACTCGAGTCCTAACAGAAGCTTACTTCCTGTGAGAGCAAAGGGGAAATATTCCCTTTTCTATTTAAGCTTGTGTAAGTATTTTAAATGCGTATTCAGATATGGCTGCCAGGGATTATGATCATTTATTCAAGCTCTTAATCATTGGGGATAGCGGTGAGTGAGAGAAAAATTGTGACTTACTATAAGGAAACCGGACTGAGAGGTAGCTATAGTGAAAACGTCGTAAAAATTGCCAACGACATCAGAACAAACCGTAGTACGTGTAAAATCATACCGCAATTTCCAGGTCTTTTAGCGTATGCTAAATAAGCCTGATATGGTTCGGCTGTCCTGATAAGAGAGCTACTGTTCACAATTGCCCTTGTAAACAAACGGGCCGTAATTTGCTTGTGTAACACGAATGATCATGTTTCGATGACTTCTGACGTACATTGCGAACGAATTTTGTAACCGATAGAAGTAGTTCAGTGGTTTCTTGGTAGACCTAGGTATATCTAAGCAATTTCTTTTGGTGTGTTATGTCAGCTTTTATGTTTACACAATCATAATGTCAAGAGTTTCACAACATTCAAACTATTTACAAACAGCTGATTCTAGCATTGCTTTGGGCTAGTGTGATCATTATCCTCCAACTGGCACTCAAAGCGTCGCTTGTAAAGCTTCTCTGTTATGATGACGGAAACCAAAGACAAAATCCCGGGAGTTAGAACAGAGATTTGGACATAAAATCGGAAGTTTAGGGGGATTGTAGCAGAATTTCACGCTAAATTTCACTTAAATAGAACCTTGTGTTTGACGCGCGCACTTCATTTGAAAATACGATGACAGGGTTGAAATATTGTACTAATGAAAAGTGAGTAGAATTAAAATTTGAATCAGAAAGATCAATGTGGGCGCAGAGCAAGTAGCAAAATACAGTTAATAGGAAAAATCATTTGGCATTCCAACAAGGTGTCTAAGTCAGTTTGACCTCATGACTTATGTATGATACTGTACCTGTAGTGTCAAGGCTCTAGCACATTCTTAATCTGTACTAGCCCTGATAAGGGAGAATATCTTTTAGGGTCAGTTGATGGGAGACTCTTTGTCAAAGGTGACAGAGGTGTAAGGTTGAAATATCAGCTTCCTAAATTGATATTAATTAGGTAGGCTGTTAATTTCAGTCTATTTCAATGCTGGGATCTCTCTTCAGTCATACATGTAGAATGTGTACAATAGTGTAACCAAATAAGTGCAGAAATCGTCTTCAACCTTTTTTTTTTTTTGTTCTCTTCTTAGGTGTTGGAAAGAGCAGTTTGTTACTCAGATTTGCAGATAATATGTTTTCAGGTATATACATGAGATTTTTGTTTTGATCTCTATAGTTGAATTATGTAATTTCAAAAATGAACAGAACTGCAGGTGATGTTTTGCATGTACTAGCAATAGTTTTTAAGACCAACAGAATTGTGAGGTAAATTTCTTACTGCTTACTTATGATTGGCTAAACAACATGGTGTTTTGTCTGAAAATTTTATATGGGCAACAGACATAAAATAATACTGTGTAGTTTCCAGTGAACTGAAAAGGGCTGGCTTCCCTTCATTTTATTTCTTCACAACTAGATTAAGTCACTGGTTGTTGTTTATACATACATTATGCATTATACATGTATGTTGCTCCTTAAGTTTGACCAGATTGTCTTCTTTTGGGAAACTTTTTCAGGATCCTACATTACAACAATTGGTGTGGATTTTAAGATAAGAAAGATCAATGTTGATGGGGAGATGGTCAAATTACAGATCTGGGATACTGCAGGACAGGAGAGATTTCGCACAATAACATCGACGTAAGAACCATTCTGCAGTTAAATGTCATTTTAATTGTAATACATGTTATAATTGCATTTTTAAAAAAATACAGTTTACAGCAAGCTGATATATTAAATACAAAGGTATCAGTTTGTAAATTATAGAAAGAGGAGTTACACAATGTTAGTCTATTGTTGTGGAAGATGAATTCAGTATTGCGATGTTTATTACCCAAAAAAATTTAATTGTGTTCTGGGCAATTCATACAGCAAGGGAAACAGTACAAGGATATCTACATATACTAATTGACTAGGTGGACCTGAAAATGTTATGCCAGGGGTTTTGACTTTCAGAATGATTGTGGCAAGGTCTGTACATTGTGACCATGGACTAAGTATTTTTTCCTCTGCAGGGTGACTTAGTGTGGTCAATAAGCACTGCTATGTCTCTTTCTTCATTTTTTCTTCCTTTTTTTATCCTGCACCTTGTGCAGCAGTATGCCAGGCTGTGCAAGTTTTTTCAGCATGGCTTGCACTATCATGCACAGCCTTCATACCAATTTTAATGTTGTTCAACAAGACAGCATGCAAGGCCATATGGGTCATCTAATAATAACTAACATTGCAGTAAGAAATTTTTCTGATGGTAGGGTTTCTACAGATGTAATTTAGTATTATCAACTGAGTTGATAACACAAATTGGCCACCATAAAGAGTTTCAAAGCTGACGTTTTGAGCATTAGCTCCTCCTCGTTTGCCCTGATGAAGGGCTATTGCTTGAAATGTTAGCTTTACATACTTAACATGCTTACTTTGAAACTCTTTACGATGACTGATTTGTTATCAACTCAGTTGATTATACTTAATTACCCTGTTATACTCTCCCAACAGCACAGCACCACAGTTTCTTAAGAAACTTACCCCCTTTCTACTGGTGTGCCCATCTTGGCTTGATGAACAACACAATATCCTGTATGACAATGCATTTACAGTCCTCCTTAAATGAGCTAGATCTCTGGTGAAAATATTGAATAACTTTTATTTGTTTATGGCATATAATCAACAGATATTACAGAGGAACACATGGAGTTATTGTAGTATATGATGTAACAAGTGCTGATACATTTGTCAATGTGAAAAGATGGCTGCATGAAATTGATCAAAATTGTGACGATGTCCAGAGAATTTTGGGTGAGTCAAATCTCATTACATTTAAACATGCATGTCTTATTGAAATAAATGTAAGATAAAGTTTTCTATTTAATTACATTACAATAGAAGAAACTGAAAAGGGCTGATATTGCGTGTTCCTCTCGTCACCCAGAGTTGGGTCTAGGTGTTTTGGCTTCCAGTCGCTGTATGTATTGATTTACATGTAGGTTTTCTTGTTTACTGGTCATAAAGTAATCTCGATGCCATGAATAGTTAATATGTACAGTGTAATGACAGCAAAAACAGTGACAAGAGAGCAGAACTTGCAGTCAGCACTCCAAGCTGCAGCTGTTTAGGTCATCATGGTGATTGGAAAAAAAATTTGCGATTAAATTTGCAGTTTGGAGACCTGGTTTATAATATCTATGGTATTTAGTTGGTTTGCAGCTTTGTAATTTGATCTTGTTTTGTTTCTCCCAAGTTGGTAACAAAGATGATAATCCAGAAAAAAAGGTTGTTGTAAAAGAAGATGCTGTGAAGTTTGCAGAACAAATGGGGATCCAAGTATTTGAAACAAGTGCAAAAGACAACAAAAATGTAGAAGATGTATGTATTGTTCTTCCATATTGTATGTTCAGGTCTGCATTTGTTTTAGGCAAAACAGGAGACACTCTTAGTTTGTGTAGTGAGAGAGACTCTGGTAATGGAATCAATTCCATAACTAGACACATGCAGTAAATTGTGATTAAGGTTCTTTTATATCTGACTTAGTTAATTAAAACTTTATTTTTCATTATTGTTAGCTATTTTATCAACAAAATTTTTTTTGCTTTAATTTCTGCTTCTTAAAGGATGTATATTGTGGAGTGACATATACTTAAATAATGCCATATTTAAGAAGGTCTTACTTAAATTCAGCAAAACGTTTAGTTGATATTGTTGTTTGGATCAATCAATAGATCAGTCTTTGAGTCAGGTAGCCAATTAATCCGTCAGTAAATCAATCAGTTGTTCAATGAATTTACAAATTCATTAATTATCCCTTTACACCTTAACATTAGTATGCAAGGTTCTCCATATTGTTCACTATACATTTTAAGAGCTTCTCGAGTCTGCAAACATTTCCTCTATTCTCATGACCTCAATGTTGGATTCAAGGGTGATACTGTCGGGAGAAACTACACAGTTGATGCTTGTTGGCCATTGGGGTAAAAGGGTAAACAAACAAATCACTCACTCACTCAATCATTGAATCAATCAATCGATAAACATCACCACCTAAACCAGTCAATAAATAAATCAATGGTTGCCAATCAATCAATCGTCCAATCAATCAGAATTCCCAAGTGATCAATCAATCAATCTTTGCTAATCAGTCAATCAATCAGTCAGTGACCAATGAGTCATTGAAATAGTCAGTCAAGCAGCCAGTCAGCCAGTCAACAAGCTATGCAAGACATCTCTTTCTTCCATCATGTTGTTCCAACCATTCTGTATGGCTGTCCTTCTGTCCGGTTTATTCTTCAGCCAGTCAGTGAGTCAGTCTGAACTTTATGATTTGGTTAAATTCATTCTTGAACTTGCAAGCATCCAGACTTATTTCATTTCATTTTTAACACATTTGTCTGTAGGTATTCAATGCAATAACACGTATGGTTCTACGGCAAAAGAAGGAACAACAAGCAAAGGCCAATGAACAATCTGGAGTAATTAAAGTTAAAAAGGACAAAAAGAAATCTAGGAAAAAATTTTCATGCTAATGTACAAAAGCCCCAGATTTTACAGACTTTTAGCATCAATACAGTGTTAACTGTGTTAGAATATGAACCTGTATTTACCTAAATTGTTAAGAGGTTGTCTTTAAGCTGGCTTGATGCCTGCAAAATAATGTGACTCAGTATGCTACATGATTCCATAATTCACAGATATCCTGTTTTCCTTGCCATATTTTCCATTGTGTACAGATCCTGCATTTGTGGCTTACTATCCTATCAAATTTATAGAATTCTGTTAATTATTTTCAAATTCTTGCTGCACATTTGTGTGTTCTGGTAGAACAAAAGTGAAAATGTACAAATGTACCTGTAGAACTGTATAAAACTGTTCTTTTTTGCCTCAAAAAAGCCACAAGCTGGCTATGTTTGTGTTTTCTTGTGTTGCAGATAGTAGAGGATGCTAACGCCATGTATTGCAAAGGAAGAGAGTACAAAATCAATAAATTAAACCCACACAATGATTGAGGTTGTAGAGCTAACCAAGATTGATTTTTACCTAAGTTTTTTTAGTGTTGATTAAAAACAAATTTCAATGGCAAGAAACAGTTACTTACACTCCAACTTGCTTTTAAATCAGCCTTTACAAACGTACATATTTCACAAGGCAAGTTGCTAGTCTCAAATCTATGTGCTAAACTAGGGGGTAGGTGGGGGGATTTTTGTTAACACTTGCTTACAGAGGAATACATGCATGTACTTACAGATAATTTATGGTTTCATACAGTTCTCTCCTTTCACAGGAAAGTCCTCTTCCACCGAAAAAGAAGCCTCTACTGCAATATTTACTAAATGTAACAAAGTGTCAGTATCAGAGTCATTGAAAACTTGACTTTTTTATTTTAAAAAAGTGCTTGGTTGAAAACTGACTGCCCATTGCTTTTTCCTGGTCATATAACCAGTAATTTACTGGTTTGATTATGATACAAACTGTTAGTACTTGTTTAGTTCTTATTCAGGAATTATTGACTAAAGTTATTATTTACTTGTGGTGAACAACAATCTATATTTTTTATGAAGTTTCTCATTACCACTACATTAGTCATTAACAAATGCAATAAACTGCCCTGTTTTCCAACTGCATAGACTTGGAGAGTTATCCTTTTCTTCTAGGCCTAATTTGTTTGTTTGTGTGGTTTTTTTTTGGGGGGGGGGGGGAGGATGGGGTGGAGATGTAAGCAGCAAAGGGGCTTGGTTATCATTTACCATTTTGATCAAAATTTAAATACAGTACCATACACTTAAAGCATAGAAACAAACAAAATAACTCAAATAAAGCACTGTTCTATAACTTACCAATTCCCATTATTAAGAGGATAATCCAAAGGGAATCTTGCAGGCTTGAGGTGATAAAAGATCAATTCTTCATTCCATCAAACACTTGCACCCCTAATCTGTAGTGACATTGGGCTTCAAAATGGTTGTTTGTTGTGATATCATAGAACACAACTTGTAATTATGAGGTACTATTTAATCTCTTGTAAGTGAAATGGTGCTGATTATGGTATTTTTTGATAAAGATAACCTAAGTAATGGCCTGTGTATATTATTTTGTACACATAGACTGAAAAGAGATCTCAGTGGTTTGCTCTAAAGAGTTTCTGATAACTTACAAGCTTAATGTCAATGAAAGCAGTGAATTTTACTCTTGAATTCATATCTTGAGTTAACAAATCTCTGTCTTGGGTTCCAATTCTAAGGCACTTGTGTTGGAATTACTAGCAATTATGTGGAAAGGGGTCAGTTGGCACCAAACTGAGATATAAAGTCAGTAATCATTGTTTTGTTTTGAAATACATTTTATTACAATATGTTTCTCTCTTTAGGCATTGGTGCTGTAGTAAATTATGATTGATATGCTATGAATTGTTATGTGCGTTTATATGGTTCACCATAGAATGCAAGGATTAACATTTTAGATCCAACTCTTCAAAGAAATTGTTGAACTTATAGTGATAAAGATAACGGATAATACTCATGTCATGCAAATGTACCTCAGAGTTCATGTTAATGTTTATAACAATACTTGGCTTTTTACAGTAAACCCCTTTCACAGATCAAATTTGTCATTCTCCTAACTGTCAACCATAAAATTCTGATGATGTCAGTTCAGAGAATTTAGTATTGGATCATCTAATTATCCCCAAATTGATATTTTTCTTTAATCTCATCACTAATCTGATTGGTAATGTATTGATATTGTAAGGAGAAATTCTTTCTTGGTCACTCACGGAAGTTAAAGGGTTAAGAACTCTTAACTTTTTTATTTTTATTGAAAACTATTTACATTACAAGGGAACAGGTTACACAGTCGTGTCTGTCTGTTTGAGCCTAAAATGGTACAGTCTCTTCCACCAATTTCTGGACGGGGATTATCACAAAAACGGCTTCTCTCTTGAATTCCTCCACCGCAATCGGCGTCACACGGCAGCCAGGGTGACCACATACTGTATCCTCCATCAACTGTACAAGTAAACGGTAAATCTCTGTTAAAGTTGCCAGAACGCTACAACGCAGTTGATGAATCATCAGTGACGTAACTGAGCACTTAATTTTAATCTGTTTTGGGAATCTCTAAATTAGAGAGGTGGATTGGGTAAGGGTAACTTGTAGGGTAGGGTCAAGGAGACTCGCTTTGGCCGAAACTTCTTCTTGATCTTTTGTGGAGTGAAGTGTCTGGGGGTTTGCCATTCTCTCTTCCTGTCAAGCATGCACAGCATGTGGTAAGACTTTCTCTTACAGTTTGTCACTTCCTACATTTAGTTAACCGTGAAGTGAGGCGCTCTGTGATTAATTACCCTGATCATTTACGCAAGTCAACTACAGAACCCTCATCTAGTGTCAAAAAATATCTAGGCCTTCTTGCCCAATTGCCCGTTCAGAGAAGTTAAATCATTGATTTTAGCCTTTGACAGCAAGCTGAAGTACCTGGGCAGCTCCTTGTGCTGCAGGTTCGTGTTTGCACAGGGTGCCCAAAGCATGACTTCCCGCCATTCATTGGTGCTGGGTTTGTACAGGTTCTAACCCGCCGTTGAATTCCGCCACTGCCGCATGTTTTAGAGCAAGGACCAAATGCACTCCATGAACTGTATCCTCCATCCACTGTGGTGAAGATGAAAATAGTTCAGGGATATAGATTCGTGTACATGTACTTCTGACTTGGGGAAAGTCTCAAGCGTTGAAATTCTCCCGGGTAGCATTGTGAGAGAACTTGTGAGCAACCTTTTTGTACACAGTTCTACAATGTTGAGCCATTCTGATAAAGAATTCTCGATTTTGTACAACAACGTCCAAGGTCGAGACTGTCTATCAGAATGTACATGTCTTAATATTTTTTTAATTTTGCAAATTTTTTGATCGTCTCTCAACCAGAGGTCTGGAGACGGATGAGGAAGAGAGGCTCAGTTTAATGCTCGAGAAAGACGTCATGTAAACGGCTCTATTCCTTTCACCTTTTCAGTCAACAATAACCTCTCTTTTCATGACCTTCTTGTAGTCTTTTTTCCATTCCTAAATGAGTCAAGAGTAAACCGTTATCGATTGCTAAATATACCTGGACAGCCACGGCGGTTGCAGCGTCGAACTTGAATGGCCGGTCCTAACGAATGACACATCTTTCCGCCACCAGAGGGCAGGGGGTTGTTGCAAATTCTGGTTCGCACCTGAGCGCCTCCTCCACAGGACCTGTCACAGTTACCCCAGTCTGACCAATCACTGTATCCGCCATCTGACAGAAGGAAAAGGAATACATCAAGTTAAAACACAGCTTATATCGACTTAAACTTACGTACACGACGCTGCCGGCAAGAGAACCCATGAAATTCGCGGAAACTGAAAGTCACGTAGAATTAAAACGTCTTAAAATCGTCTCTATAATTCATACTAAAAAAGAGCGCGCTAAACGCGTTTGTGGTAGGAGAGTCCTTAAGTTCTTGCATATTGTATATATTGTATATTCTTTTTATACCGAAATCATTCAAGATTTCGCCTAGTAGTAGCTGTTTTACTCATCCGTGTTGCGTGTGTGCAAAAAGATGTAAGGGCCACGACAGAAATGTCTTGCGTGGGATCAAGGTGAACGTGTAAACTCACCTTTAGTTAGTGCACGAGTGAGACCAGGCTCTGTTACATGTTGCAAGCTGGACACTCGTGGGTTATGAAACGCTAAATATCATAAAACAATGTTAGAAATCAGTAAAAAAAAGAAAGATGGTACAATTTGAACCTGGTATTCAAATATTGGTTACCAACGTGGGCTAAAGACCAAAAGGAACCCGCGACGAGCATTTCAAACTCAGACCTAACATTTGATGATTGAAATCTTAATTCGTGTATCCCTGATTTTGAATTTACCTTAGACTGATGTTCTAAACAAATATTTGAAAAGCTAACAATCGTTAGAAATAAAAACTTCGCTTTTCTAGACAATTGATAATTACTGTGAAACTCTAGAGTTATTACGTTTAAGAAAAACACTTTCTTTTCACCGCTATTCCTTACGTCACCTGCATAAATTGTCGCTGGATTAAAAGCGAATAGCTTGACGCTTTGAGCTTCTAGGCCTTGGCTTAAGCTTGGAAGAATCTGAGAGGTATATGCTGTCAGTTTACAAAATATAAAAAAAGAATTAAGATTTTGTTAAAGAAAACAATAATGAAGTTTGGTCAACACTCGTCGGCTTCAGTGGATTAGCAGAACGATTTCCAATCCGAAGCTCTCTCTGTTGGTCAGCCTCTTATCTGTCTGTCATCGAGCGGTTCGTCACTCAGTTGATTCGTCATTTAGTCTGTCAGTTCGTCAGTCAGTGTCGCAAACAGTTAACTATTCATAAATTTGGCACGTCTGTCACTAAATCTTTCCATCAGTTTTGTTTGTCTACAGTTCGTATTCGCACTCAGACTTAGTCAGATGATCTTCTTACCTGGACAGATTCGGTCAAAACATGATTGATGCTGAATGGAAAGTCCGTTACACAATCCACTAGTGGGAAAGAGTGTTGGATTTATACAAGAGCGCCTGCGAACTCGAAATCCAACACCACAGGTCTTGGAGCATGCGCTCCAGAAACTCCAAGGCGTAAACAATTGATGACTCACATCACTCCCCCTGGGTAATAGACCTGGATAAAAGATAGGGATATTATTGTGAAAACAAAGTTTCCAGCAAGCATGCGCAGCCTTGCAACCATAAAATAAAAAGTTTTCAATGTGGCAGAGACAACGAGCTCAGAATGCAGCTTGACAAAGGGGAATTTTGCCTCCCAAGGGAATTAATTTTATCCTCATGGATAACGTCTCTGCAGGATTATTTTCGACGATGAAAATTTCAACGACAAAGGGATTTTTTAAAATTAAGAGCTTGCAAGAGCTCTAGATGGGAATAGGGTTTTGCCACAAGGTACAAATTTCTTGAGGTGAACACTTTTGTGAACTCGATGGAATCTTACCCGCGCCGGCCTTTGGTTTTTTAAGATTGGAACATTATTTGGAAGGACAGAAAACAACAAGAACAGGAAAAAGGACAGTTACCACTACAGAATTCCAGAGGAATTGTTATTGGAAAAAAAAAAGTAGAAAACATGAACATCAAAACATGCGTCGTATTTTTAATAGCTGTTAGCTTTATTAAGAAGCAAATAAAACTAGATTAAGGAAAAAAACAATTGTTATTGCCAAGCATTGTTACCTTTGAACGTGCTCTCAGTCATTATTTCTTAAATTGAAAAATATTTTTTCTAGAAGTTCATTTTTTTTTCGTGTTTTGATTTTCGGTAGTTGCTCTAAAACGTATTTTAACCAGGTTCCAAACTTTGCATCGACTCAGAGAATCTTCAAAGATAAAACGATTGTTAGACTGAATGAATTAGCTTATTGCACGCCTGCAAAGCAGTACAGCAGATTTTTAAAAGGAACGCGTGATTATATGAAGACAGTTCTTCCAAGAATCCGCCAGAGTCTTCAGCTTTAACCTTATTATCGGTCTGGAGTGATAACAGATAGAGACAAATTGTGCTACCAGTTGGAACAGTAAAATCTCATTGAAAAAGAAACCGAACGTCACAAGAAACCAATATTAAATGGTATGA